GCGCCGGGAGGCCGAACGGGCACTGCAGGCCAGGACCACGGCCGCGTAACTGCCGGGATCCAACAAGCCGTGTGAAGGGGAGCGACAGTGGGAACGGGGCTTTGGATGTGCTCGCACAAGCCCTCACTTCAGCCTGCAGAATTTTTGTGTTTTTGCCTACTCGCAGTAGCTGCATAAAGTGCAATTCCTGCAGTTTTTCCTTTTTTTTTTTTTTTCCTCCTGCTTTTTCTGTCCTCTTTCATCGCGGATAAATTAACATGAAGGAAGCTGATGGGGCTAATTAGTTCCAAGCAGGGAATTGTGCTGTGTTAATTTCTCTGCTTGGAAGTCTTTATTATCCAGTCAGATCGCTCCATTTTTGCAGCTTATATTTTAAAACCTCTTCATTCATACCACCTAATCCTTTATTTTTTTTCTTTTTTTCTTTTTGATCCTGCAGGGAAAACATAATTCCACATAATTGGACATAGAAGCTTGCAATGGAAATTATGCGTGGTTGCAAGAGAGGTTTTGCCTTGAATGGAAATGTATTCAACAAAGCAGTAGCCGTGGCAAGAGCCATAGAGAGATATACATGAAAGGTGAATTTAGAAACAAAAATGCAATCAGCTGAATAGCATGGGAGAAGCATCGCTGACTTACCTAGCTGTTTCCTCCCAGACTTGCGCAGAATTAGGAACAGTTCCAGAATTCATATATCAAGCTGGGAATGGAAACGGTGGTTTGGGGAATAAGATGGTGCGTCGTCAAAGTCAGCCAAAATTAAGCCGCTGACCTCTTGGCTAACAAGGTCTCCCTTGCGTTGCAAGGCTTCAAGCACGTCCACAAAGGTGGGCCACGCAGCCTGGGTGCCCAGTTGTAGGTAGTGACTTAAAGCAAGGTTTGTTCAGTAACTGCAAATACTTAAGAGTTTTGGCAAGTGACATTTTGGCAAAAGACTCTTTCGCATATCCACTGTTAAAATTTAGCACTAAAGGTCATAGCTCTACTTTGATAGTGCAATTAATTTCTTTCCTATCTCGTTTCCTAAGAAAATAGAGTGTGGACACACTTAAAGACAGGTTGCTTAGACCTTGAAGAGAAGAGGTGAAAAAATACCTTACTGTGTAGACAAGAACTGATTGAGAGGTGGTGCTGCCTTTACCTGGCCAGTGTGTTTCCTAGTCCATGTTCTTACCTGGATGCACGTTAGCACTGACTTTTTTGTGATTTACATCACTTACGTTGCTGTGCCCAGGGCCTTCGGCAAGGCTCTGCAAACACCTGCATCGGTCCTGGCACTCTCCCTTCTCTCCCAAGCACTGTAGAAAGAGAATGGCCGAGTGAGCAGAAAAAAACCCTTTAATTTCCCAATTATTATTCTGTATCCTGGACCATATTTCTCTCAGTGGTCCCCCGCAATGACTGTAAAACTATACCTGAACTGTAAAACTATACCTGAAATGAGTAAATGACATTAAGGCAGGTAAAACTTGGCAAATGCTAAATGTTTTGTACTGGAAATAAAATCCAGCTTCTGCAGCCCAGCTATCTCGTTTCTTGATCTTTTCTTTTTGCTAGGCAGGTTGAGGCCTAGTCTGTGTGGAAACCTCAAGGGGAAACCAGGGTTAGTTTTCAGTCAGCAGAATCTTTTTTCAGAAGCTCCCATAGACGTCCTTTTAAAATGAGGAAATGGCAAAACCGTAAGCCAGGCAATAAATCTTTAGTCTCTTCCCAAATGGTCTGGTTGTACTAGGATTGCCCATCATTCAGTGACATTTTTCTGATAATGTCTTGGCAGATGACTCCAATACAGATCTATCCAAAAATGAGTGGAAAAAAAATTCAGCATGTTAAAAAATTGTTCATTTCTGTAGACAGAAAAACCACCTCTACCTTCCGCTTTGAATAAATTCAGATGTTAACTGAAGTGGCCTGGATTATTTCCAGTTTACAGTAATTCTATTCCACTTACCTGAAATTCTCCTCTTACTACAGCTCTGATGAAATCTTTGTCATCTCCCAACTGCCGGCGATGGCTGTGAAGTGTTACAGCAGCAATATTGGCTATGGCAACGGTAGGTAAAGAGACCTCTTTATATGCATGATAACATTCTCAAAGACATCCTTCTCTGGCACAAGCCTGTTTCCCTAAATGGGAGCTGAACTAAGCTAACACAAGCGCTTTGGAACATCCCAGCACTCTCCTAATGCATTCTGCTCTGACATACTACGTTTCTTCAGATTATTAGTTGTCTTGGAAGGCAACACTTGCGAGAGAAAAAAAAAAAAAAAAGAAAGAGAGACTGGATCCCTAAAGATCAATATTATTAAATGTTGTCTGTCAGCGTATATGATAAGGGCGATTTTATTCTCACCATGAAGGTATTTTTCCTAGTTTCCTTCTTTGTCATATTTTGCCTAATGCTTTTCTGGAATAGCAATAGCTTGAAATCTCATAGAGGAGCAGAGAGCTGGAGTTAAAATGCTCCTTGTATTTCAAGTAGTGTTTTGGTACAGCTGTTTGGCAAGCACTGTGAATGCTTATTACATTTTATTTTAAGACCCAGAGGCTTCTTTTATAAGCTTATCTCCTTTATTGCTCCAAAACAGCAGCAAAAAACAACACTTCCCTACGTATATACAGTGCGTTACTAAATGAAACCTGCTCAGAAACTCCTGTGTGATATACGTGTCTTCCCAACTTCTCATGCTGTGTCTCAGAGCAGAAGCCACCTTCCTCTTCAGCAGCAAGTTAATGCTAAGATTTTTCATCCCTGCCCCAATAAACCTTTTTAACTTCTTTTTTTCATTACATTATTTAGGTACCTCATAATCCCTCAAAAAGTAAGAAATAGCATAAATTTGAAGCTTCATCCCATAAATTCCTAGTCTTTCTTAGAGTGGCAATGTAGGATCATGTTCATGATCTGGTGTACTCTGCCAGTAGTAAACTGCCAAATGCAACTGATGATCAGTTCAAAGATGAGAATTAGAAATGAAATAACTGCAAGCATCCTACTCATCAAAAGGCTGAAGACCTTCTGCAGATAGAAGAAAAAAAAAAGCCTTCTATTCTCCAAATGATTTAAGAAGCCTACGAATATGGAGACACATTAATCATTGTGGTCCAACCTCATTTAACGGGAAGAAGTGAGGGAGTTTTGCTAACACGTGAAACTGGGGCTCAAAGGTGACAGAGTTTTGTCACCATTTGTGGATGGATCTGCACCCCTCAGCTTGTTTCTGAGGACGAAGCTACCCTTTGACATTCTTGGACAGTAGCTTGCTTCTGCTCATAACCAAAATGCAAAATAGAGTGCATGCCAAAAGTGCAAGCAAAAAATATATATATTTTTTAATCAGCTAACCTGTCTAAGAAACCGTAAATCTATTCTGTGGGTCAGAGCTGGAAAAAAAATGATCTAATTTCCAGTTTAGATACAATTTATAGTTTCATTTCACATAATTCTGTTTCCTCATCAGTGATTAACTGAATCACATCCTCAAAAAAGTAACTACAGACCACATTTATAACTAGGTGGGAGAGAAAAATTAAAGGAAAAATTTCCATTTTCTCTAACTTTTTCTAAAAGAGAGTGACTTTTTTTCCCAAAGAATTCTCAGCACCCAACCCTTGAAGCACCTCGTGCAATGGGATTTAGAAAATTCTCCTATCTTTTTTTGGAAGTCCCATGTGCAAAGCTGTCGGGATTGTTACTGCAGGTTCTTCAGGGCAGAGACCTTGGCATGTACCATGCTCATAAAATGCTACCTCCCCCCATGTACACCCCCACACAATCCTCCCTCTCCACCCTCCAGTCACATTACAACTTGTTACTCTTCTTGGCTGGGAACAATAGCAACAGCAAACGCGTACCCTCAGCTGCCTTCCACTGCTGGCGCAGGCATCGCCTGGCAGCGTTCCTGCTCAAATGGTTAGAAGCCCAGCAAATATTTATTTAATGGGGAATTACAAAAATCTAAGAGTACACGACTCAACTTTTTTGAAAGCACCTTCTTCCTCCCAGTCAATGGGCTATTTGATTTCTTACTTCAATTCTGACTAAACTGGAGCTAAGTGGGTGAAAGAAGGGGAGGAAAAAGATCAAAGGATCTGATCTTAGGAGCTGTGTCAAGCAAATACATTAGCGCCCATAGGAAGCCGACTGGGAGCTGACTGGGAGGCAGTTCCTAAATTGAAATGCCATTGAACAGGGACAGGCAGATGTTAGGTCAGCTCCAGTCAAGAGCATAGTCTCTAGATGAGAAAAAAACTGTTCTTTTTCTTTGCTCTAGTTTGTGGAGTGCACGTAATAATTACCATAGCGTGGTTTTATGCGCTCCGTTTTGTCCTTGAACTTTGTATTCCTTGAACTCCCCTAGTAACTCTTCATACTAATAAAGTACTAAGCCATTTGCATAGGAAGAGCTGGCTCAAAAGGGGAATTGTTCTGTTGTTTTAACCATGTCAGCGCTCACCGTCCTGGTTTATTTTGCTATCCCGTTTAACTGCTGTTCAAAAAAAAAAATCAAACAGGAAGCAATCATGGTGCTCTTTCAAGACAGTCCCTGAAATACATACTTGCGTCCCTAACACAAAATGAAGGTCAGGGCCGTAAAACACAGTTAAGCTGTTTGGAAGGACTGGAGAGGCATTACGATGGGAGGCCTGGTAGAGAAATTCAATGCCACAACTTCACTTGCAGCAGAGATGATCCGTCCGAGGCGGACATTGCGCTGTTACCTTTGTTGAAGGACTGGGGGAAAAATAGATTGAACTGACAAGGCCCATTAAAAATTACTGGCCTAAACTGCTTGAATATATAGGAGTGGGGAAAAAGGGAAAACTCCCCGTTAAGCTGCAAAATCGTTATCGTTTTTTCCTCACCTGACCTAAAATTATGCTTTGGCTTTCATCAGATAACTAGCACAACGACATGGAGAGGAATAACATGAAAACGAGCATCTAATGACAACACTGTAAGACAAAGCAAAGTCTTCACACAGGATTTAGCTAATTATATTTTGGGCAAATATTTATTTATCTAAAAACAAAATAAAAATCATTTTAAAAAGAAAAATGTATTTAAATAAAAAACAAAACTGTGAAATGTTATGGCACAGAAGTTCAAGACAAGTATAAATCCAGTTGCCACAACTGTTGCGTATTAATGTTACACATTTTCTATAAAGATTTTATTAAAGGTATTTACATGGCAATAAGATGTGTAAATATATACAGCAATCTGGGGACAACTTTTTGGAATTCTCATAAGAAAAAATGCCTTAAATACAAAATTCTGAAAGAAAAAAAGTTGAAGAGTTCATCCCCAAGCATGAAGAATGTCCCATCATCCCTTATGCCCAAAGTATCAATTATGAGGCAGTTTTGAGGTTCTGGCTAAACCCTTCGGAGATCTAGCCAAGGTTGTGTAGTCTCAAGTTAAATCGCACAGCATGCAGTTGCAATAGTTCCATCCTTTATGGACTGGGTGTAGTTCATGAGTGATATTAGAAACATTAATATTTTATCATAGTTTCAGTCTAGTTTGAGTTATTCTAAATGATGCCCAAGAGTTCCTACGCACAAGAGTTCCTTAGCTGCTCAAGTTTGTGTTTCAACTGTTCCCTCCTCCTCCTCAACTGCTCTTTCTCTGCAATCAGTCTGTGTTCATCTGACTGGATAGAAAGAACATATTCCGTCGCTTTTTTCAGGATGACAACCTTGGGTGCCTTTTCGTTGTTGGCCACCTCCGGTATCTGATCGCGCAAGGCGAAGAAACTCAGCTTCAGCTCATTTCTCCTCTGGCGCTCCAGGACATTGTGCGTTCGCCTCTTATCGTTCTCTTCGGAGTCTGATGTGCGGGGACTCGAGCATTTGCGGTTATTACTGATCTGTTTGAGAACTCTGCCACTGTCCAACTTTAGCCTTTTTGCAGCTGGATACTCAACCTTGGTGGAGGGAGGAGCAGCATAATTGTGCTGATGGATGTTGACGTGACACCGTTTGAGAACTAGCGGGCTGTGGTGGGGCTTACTGTGCCCTTCTGATGTTTCTGTGCTGGACTCTGTGCTGGATTCGGATTCATTTGCTTCAGCTAGTGTAACAACATCAATTTCTTCGTCTTCCTCTTGTTCTTCCTCTGCAAGATAAAAAAAAAAAAGAATCGTAAGTGGTTCTGTGCAAATAAAGAGCACTGTATGTATAAAGGAATGTTATTCCAAGCCGCGCAGTAAGGAACCCATTGATAAAGCCGTCTTAAAACGGTCTTGATACTGAGACTCCACTGTCCTGGAGAGCTTTTCCTTTAAGGAAGCCACTGTTTCAAGCGCAGTAGGACACGGACTGCGTTCTAAGCCCTGGATCCTCGATTTCAAAAGTTGCAAAGATCTTGCGTAATTCTGAAGAACGTATGGAAGATAGCAGGAAAGTTTAACCTCGATTGTCAGCAGTACAGCGCAATAAAGCTTCCAGACTCAAGCTGCCCTTAATTAAGGACTTAGAAGGCTTTGGCCACGCCTCAAGAAAGCTTACTTAACACACGTGTGTGTTCAGAGACATTTTCTGAATCTTTCTCGATCGACTAATTTGTGGAAAATCCAAGAGGAAAAAAACGTGAAGGCTGTAGTGCTCTGCGTTGCAATTCGCTTCCAACCCAAATTTACGGGTAAGCGGAACACGCTGTCAAATACCTAAGGAAGCATTTCTAAAACTTTCCCAGCCCCATTCACTGCTCTGCAGTCACTTTCACTAGCACCTCCCTGCCTGCACTGAGTCTCCGTGCGGCTCTAGAGCTCGAGTTAACTCCTTCCCAGCCCGGAGATGTCACTGGAAAGCAGCTTCACTTGGACGCCGCTCAAGCTTTGGAGACCAACTCTGACCCCGTTACGAAAGTTTCTCCTCCCAGCACACATACGCTCACACATACACTTTTTTTTTTTTCCTTCCCTTTACTCCCTTCACTTCTGGAGGGAAAACTGAGCTAGTTTTCCAGGAAATAAATCCATTGGGAGTCTCTCACTGTGCCTCGCTAACGTGGCATTTAAAAAAGCACATGCACGGGGAGGAGAGAGAGGGTTGAAGTCCTGCGGCGGGGAGGAGGGCCGCGCAACGCGCTCGCTG